GTTAATTCCTGACCCACTTCTTGTTGGACTTAAACTTTTACTCGTCCAGCTGTCCGTGTTTGTCATTATTCATTATTAAAACGTCTTAATTACATTTTAAGTTCTGGAAAGCTAAGTTCGCCGCTTGACACGAAAATAGGATGATACAATACTGTTGCCAACAAAACTGCCTAATTATGACAAAAACCAAAATGCGACAGCTGTAACATACGGCAGTGGGAACTTTTTTCAGACAAAGGATGAACTGGTGAATAAGTGTGCTTTAGATTTGTTGACAATGGACTTACCGTACCTAATAAATAGCGATCTTTAGTTATGTGCAGTAAATACAAGATTAATGGCCTACTTCTATTATCAAGCCGAGACGTTTGGGATTTCACGAGCCTCCACTCTTGGGGACCACCAAAGAACTGGACGGTGTACCAGTGACAACGGGACAAAATCTGTGGTTTGTGTCGATGTTGGGTCGTGACTGCGTCGCATAGAGAATATACGGACTCCGTCTTCTGGGGATGGAACTTTTGCGTGTACCTTGTCGGTGTCAGAATCCAGAATATCGACATTTTCACTGATATGAGAAGCTCAAATTTCGCATATGTGATTTGTGCAAAATGAAGTTCCTGAGAATTTTACAAGCGAAGTAATTCAATTTTTGGGCCTAATTTTTAAGCACTTTAGTGTTTCAGTGTATTTGACATTAATACTGCTCGTTTTCGACGATAAGGATTTGCAGCTGAATCTGAGGCCGGAAAGGTCTATGTTGACAAAACGTCGCGTGTTTGAGTTACATGAACAGGATTATTAATCGTCAAATCGTGCAGCATGCCATGTGCATTGACACCATTTCAGTTGGCAAGGGCAATTTTCTTTGTTGTTAATATGATGTGTGTCACAGGCACGGTTATTGATTTATTTGTTATACAACATTTTATGTTTACTGACGTCGTTTTAGTTGGCAATGAGAAGATGTTAATATTGAGTTAAGTCTCTGAGTTACAGGAATTGTTATTGTTTTATTGTGTACGAATACCATCTCAGTTTGCTATGACAATATTTTATCCTGTCACAAATGTTATAATTATGAGATCTAAGGTGTAATTAATTATTAAGTCTTGCGTATATGAGAGCGAACAATGACGTGTATCGGATAATGGAAATGTCTGGAAAATTACAAATTGTTAATGCTATCGAGCTGACACTGGCAAATAATTCCTGAAGTAAAAATACCAGTCTGGTATTTTACTGTACGTGATATTTTTATCCACAAACAACGAACTAGCTTTTAAATTAAATTTAAATTTTGTGCGCCACATGATCAGCACATTTCATTATCCCTGGTTTATTAATTTAAAAAATATTCAGCGAAAACTAAATTATGAAGCTAGCTTTTTATTAAGTAATTGTTTCATTAATCTCCCTGTTACTTCTTAGGTTAATATGTTTTCCTCGCTTGTTTGTCCATAAAAGCCTTCAATCCATATTATTTTCTTAAGGTGAGACACCAAACTTTGTACCCACATGAAAACGTAACAATTAACTTTCTGGGTAATTCAGTCTTTAGGTGTAGACCATGAAACTGGATATGAAGATGATGCTTTGATTCACTAACTATTCTTTTGTTTACCATTTTATGTCGGACATGCAAACGCTTTCGTAGATAAAAAAAATAGAAAAAGGTAAACAGTAATTCTGATAAATAATTCTGTCGACGATAAAAAAATTCATGGTTATTACTGATGTGTGTATTTATATACTATTTTTATAGTAACAGGTGATAAAACGTTGAAGGCAGTACAATATAACTCGCTCTGGGACACAGACTTTGAAGTCGGAATTGTAAAGCACCAAGACATTTTCTCTAATCTTTATAGGTCGTGCATGTCCTAAGACTGATAAATATATACAGCCAAAGTCTTTTGGTGGAAAGTAATGTCACATCGCTTGTATTACAAGTGTTACTGAAACAGCGCATATGGATAAATTAAAATAATGAACGTGCATCTGCACATATGCATACAAAAATATGTTCACCAGATGCAGTTCTCAACACAAGCGTCGATTATTCCGCAGTATATCACAACACGTGACAGAAAAAAAAAAGATTCTGCTATAAACATATTTGTTGGTTTCGTTCTTTTCCCACGATGCAAACTCAGGTGTTCAATGTTACAAATAAACGAGCCCTGACACCCACTGTGACAATCATGCGACTGCTTTTAGATGCGTTCCGGGTATAAATACGAGGTCGGGGCGCTATCCGAACCACTTTTCGGGGAACATCCACTGCCACCGACAATGAGGGTCTTCGTTTGTCTTCTGTCGGCGCTCGTGCTTTGCCAAGGTAATCTACTGAAAAGATTTATTACGGTCGCTGACAGGACCACGGATCGCCAACCATAACTAGCACCTTGGTGGTGCGAGAATTTGTAAATATCAATAACAATTTAGCCTATAGATTAGTCACTTATGAATTAAAATCAAAAGGTAATTTTCGTTCTACAGACTAAATCTCATCTCTGTTCAATGCCGATTAGTTCTGAATGTTTAGATTGTGATCAGATGTCAAATTAATTAAGGGATTTCGATGTAAGTAATGTTTTGGAAAATGTCTTGATGTGTGAACACGAGATACAAATCTATTTTTAATGTAATTTGCATTTTTGGTAGACAGTGCCCGCTATTAATTTTAATCTCCTCGTAATTTCCTTCTAGTACTGCGTTGAGAATTCGTTTCACTACACTCGAATACCATAGACGATATTTACTACAGTCAAAATTGACGAAATCCATTTCTATAATTTGAAGGAATATGCAATCCGCATAACACTAGTAGCACCAATTGTTACAACGACGACTGTAAAATATGTAATCTAGCAAATTATCTTCGTAGGATTGTCGACTGTTATGAACGAAGGGCAACGTGGAAACAAATAGAACAACGGAAATTACGTTGCATTATTGAAGAGGCATTTGCATGTCGAAAACAGCATGTTTCAAGCTTTTCATTTAGGCCAACTATTGCAAGGTTTGAATATATAATTTATAAATGCTATACGTCCGATGATTAATAAAAAAAATCCTGTCCTGTCTTGCTTGATTTTATAAAGCCGACATTAGGTATGAAAATGTTTTTTAAACTAAAATCCGAGGATATGCAAAAACAATGCTCAGTTTTTAAGCGTTAAATGAAGGAAGAAGGTTTATAAGAAAAAACAAACAAACAAACAAACAGACATGGTTAAAAACAGAACAAAGTCATGCAACCCAACTCTGATCCAAATCCACAACTGAATTAATTCAATAATAGAGGGCAACCAAATGGACTGGTGTTGGTATATTTCTCACTTGCTTCGAGCTTGGAGAACATTCAGAATGTCCGCGGTAATTTCACTAATTACGATTCATCTGCGAATTAATACAACTGTCACAGATAAATTCTTGTGTTACAGCTTACGATTATGGCGAAGTAATTCGCGATTCGCTGCTGTTCTATGAGGCACAGCGATCGGGGAAATTGCCGGCTGATCAGAAGGTCACGTGGAGGAAGGACTCAGCCCTCAATGACAAAGGGCAGAAGGGCGAAGACCTCACAGGAGGCTACTATGACGGTAAGTGTACTCAGAACACGTCGGCCTACGTGCATCCAATCTAGAGACCGATTTCTTATCACTTCTGCTACGTATTCGAGAGGTCCCGGGTTCGTATCTAGGCCCGAGACCGGCTATCTTGACTGAGAATTTTAGTGGTTTTTCCCAGTACATCCAGGTATATGATCGGGTTTTATCTTCAATTTGGTTACTACCGCTTTTTCAATATTATTTCGAAATCGTTCTTCATTAATCATTCTACCATTCGACTCTCTACAGTATGAGCTAATGACAGGTTTATTAAATAAATCACACGTAAATACGTAGTACGTACGTAGACGTTACGTCCAAGTTTTAAACTTAAGGAATAACTCAGATTCACTTTTTCATGATACCGGTACAGCTTAGCTTTATATTAAGTAAGTGAGTGAATTTTCGTGTTCTAAGAAATTGTTCACAACTCACATCTCGGTTTGTACTTCAGAAATTTTTTTAGCGTGAAGGATTTTAAAAAAATAATCCTGATTTTTTATCACTTTTGCTGATTTACACGCTAAATGCCACACGCGCTACCGACTTTAAAATCCTACCGTAAAATGTTAAATTTTCTAGGTAAAATTTGTGTCAGATACATTTTAATAAAATTTATATCTGAGCATACACCATGGCAATTTGTAATTTCTGAAATAAGTGTTGTCAAAGATTACAAAATTAGCTTTTAGTTTTAAAAAAATAGTACCAATAGGGGCTTCTTAGCCCTTGGGTCCAACGTGGAAACTTCTTGGCCCGAGGGAAAAAAGTCGAGTTATCTTCATCTAGAGGAAGAGATATTTAAAGATTTTGTCAAAGTGCGTATGTGTTGTAAGAGGTTCAGTATTTCTGAAGAATATATTAATTTTATCTTTGCTATCTACATGGATAATGAGGTCTGGCGAAATTATGTTCATAATCCTAATTATTTTTGGTTTAACAAGACCCAAGAAACGACCATCGCTAACTTCTAATATTTCTGCAGCTGGTGACTTTGTCAAGTTCGGATTCCCTATGGCCTTCACAGTCACTACCATAGCTTGGGGAGCTTTGGACCAAGAGGCAGGATACACCAAAGCAAGTAAGTACCTGACAGCGATGCTGAGCGTGTACCATTTACTGCACCACTACCATATATTAGTCCACTGCGTTTCTTTTAGTAGGCTTACGTAATTATAAGTGACGTTAAGAACATACTTAAAGCATCAGATTCAACACTGAAGGCTGTAGATCTTTGATGAAATTCAGAGAGACGTTTTTGAAATAACACTTAACCCACTAAATGAGATAACTGTCTTGTAAATTCGTTACAATTTTTGCTGTCAATTTCAAGACCGTTCAGCTCGACTTCCTATAATGCTAGTAAGCGGTTTTCGACCTAACGGAATAGTGACTGTAGGACGATAATTGTCTGTTATACTATTGATATTGTAATACTATTACCCTGTAATTTTGCTTTACTGAAAATTTATTAGTTCCTTCAAAATCTAAAATGAAAGCTTATAGATACTCGACTGGTTCTTAGAATAATGTTACTTAAGACAAAATGAATTATCCACCGGCCCCATTAGTATTATTATAAATAAGTTCAGTTTTTAATGTTTGTCATAAGAACATACAACACTTGCATTCTCAAAAGTAATTAATTTCAATATCTCTTATGCTAAGAATCGTCCTTAAAATTGTTTAAATATAAATTCCCATTCAAACATTCTTAGAAATGAAACTATCGCGTGAATATTAATTTTCGCAGTTTGTCGCTATATAATACATTTCAGAATTCAACAAATTGTGTGTGAAACTAACCTGAGGAACACGATAGGGCCTGTTATTTATATGGATACAAAAGAATAAATAAAATGCTGACAATTATGTTTGAAACTAAATACTGTAGATGATGCTGTGAAGATAAATGTTCTTGGCTTTAGGGATACTACTTTTTATTATAATATTCAACGATACTTATCTAATGACCAGGCTTATAACCTTTGGGGCAAGAAAGTTTGATAACAAATGTAAGCATTTATCGTATTTTCCTGCAGTAACACTGTGGGCACTGTAGTTATATTTAAATTTAAACATTTAATTTTATATAAATATAAAAAATAAAACCAACATGAACAGAACAAATTTGATGTTTCCTCAAATTCCATTCATGTGTGAAGTTACTGGCAGGTTAAATCAATGACAGATAATGACGAAGAAAAAATTTCAAAATACAATTTGTTACAATGTTTTCGGCAGAGAATAATCAAGAACATGTTAGACACCTTTAAGTAACAAACACTGTTCAATATAGGCCTGAGAGAATAGGTGATCTATACCACTATCATAAACTTTTGTAAATAACGATTCAGTTGCTATTAACAAACTGCAAATATTACGTATTATTATTTCTTTATCACCTCGTGAAGCAACTTCAAATCATTCCCATTTTCCCATTACTCTTTCAGTCTCTTAAACGGCACAATTTTTATAACTGCCTTACCATTGTCTTTAGATGCTCTGGAAGACGTTAGGAAAGCAATTAAATGGGGCACGGACTACTTCATCAAGGCGCACGTGAGCCAGAACGAATTGTACGGACAAGTAGGACAAGGAGATGTGGACCACGCATACTGGGGGCGTCCCGAGGACATGACGATGAGCAGACCAGAGGCAGGATACACCAAAGCAAGTAAGTACCTGACAGCGATGCTGAGCGTGTACCATTTACTGCACCACTACCATATATTAGTCCACTGCGTTTCTTTTAGTAGGCTTACGTAATTATAAGTGACGTTAAGAACATACTTAAAGCATCAGATTCAACACTGAAGGCTGTAGATCTTTGATGAAATTCAGAGAGACGTTTTTGAAATAACACTTAACCCACTAAATGAGATAACTGTCTTGTAAATTCGTTACAATTTTTGCTGTCAATTTCAAGACCGTTCAGCTCGACTTCCTATAATGCTAGTAAGCGGTTTTCGACCTAACGGAATAGTGACTGTAGGACGATAATTGTCTGTTATACTATTGATATTGTAATACTATTACCCTGTAATTTTGCTTTACTGAAAATTTATTAGTTCCTTCAAAATCTAAAATGAAAGCTTATAGATACTCGACTGGTTCTTAGAATAATGTTACTTAAGACAAAATGAATTATCCACCGGCCCCATTAGTATTATTATAAATAAGTTCAGTTTTTAATGTTTGTCATAAGAACATACAACACTTGCATTCTCAAAAGTAATTAATTTCAATATCTCTTATGCTAAGAATCGTCCTTAAAATTGTTTAAATATAAATTCCCATTCAAACATTCTTAGAAATGAAACTATCGCGTGAATATTAATTTTCGCAGTTTGTCGCTATATAATACATTTCAGAATTCAACAAATTGTGTGTGAAACTAACCTGAGGAACACGATAGGGCCTGTTATTTATATGGATACAAAAGAATAAATAAAATGCTGACAATTATGTTTGAAACTAAATACTGTAGATGATGCTGTGAAGATAAATGTTCTTGGCTTTAGGGATACTACTTTTTATTATAATATTCAACGATACTTATCTAATGACCAGGCTTATAACCTTTGGGGCAAGAAAGTTTGATAACAAATGTAAGCATTTATCGTATTTTCCTGCAGTAACACTGTGGGCACTGTAGTTATATTTAAATTTAAACATTTAATTTTATATAAATATAAAAAATAAAACCAACATGAACAGAACAAATTTGATGTTTCCTCAAATTCCATTCATGTGTGAAGTTACTGGCAGGTTAAATCAATGACAGATAATGACGAAGAAAAAATTTCAAAATACAATTTGTTACAATGTTTTCGGCAGAGAATAATCAAGAACATGTTAGACACCTTTAAGTAACAAACACTGTTCAATATAGGCCTGAGAGAATAGGTGATCTATACCACTATCATAAACTTTTGTAAATAACGATTCAGTTGCTATTAACAAACTGCAAATATTACGTATTATTATTTCTTTATCACCTCGTGAAGCAACTTCAAATCATTCCCATTTTCCCATTACTCTTTCAGTCTCTTAAACGGCACAATTTTTATAACTGCCTTACCATTGTCTTTAGATGCTCTGGAAGACGTTAGGAAAGCAATTAAATGGGGCACGGACTACTTCATC